TAGCAGGTGGACGCGTGCACACAGGAGGGCATGTGCACACAGGAGGACAGTAAACCTGTCACTGAGCCTGGCTATGTGTTGAGTTAGAGGGGGGAGGGGAGGGGCCAGAGGGGCGAGCTGTGGATCTCGTAGACCTGCCTTCCTCTTGCCCTCTGGGCCTGATAACCTCCCCCAGCGGAGGCTGAGCTGAGTGTCCTGTGGGTACCAGGCCCTGCTCAGAGCCCCGGGTGCGCCTCACAGCAATAGGCCCACCTAGGGACATGCACAGACCCCACAGCCCAGAAAACCCCACAGCCCAGGCAAAGAGCCCTTGTGCCTTTTAAGTACTTAGTGCAGCTGGTTCCGTTTCCCAAGGACTCCAGGAGGCAAAGAAGCCTGTGCCCAGGCCCTGGAGAGGGATCCTTATGGCACGTTACTTTATCTCTGGGTCTCAGTCTTCCCATCTGCAAAGTGGATCTAAACCAGACTCTTCATCAGAGTATTGAGAGGATTCATTGAGCACTTAGCAGGATGTCTGGCTAAGTGAGCACCTGGCAGGATACCTGTCCTCAGGGTTGATACTTTCTCCAGAGATGTTCACACCCATCCCTGCCCTCAAGCACTGGAGCCCCCACGAAGAAGCTACTCATGGCGAAAACACTTTTTGAAAGGTGACAGTGACTAACTGCCACTATATAAGAAGCGTTTGTGCCGAATGAGAGAGGTGGGCATGTGAATTAATAACGCCCGAGCTGGGGGCAGGAGGACCAGCCCAGGGAGCCCTGGCACCGGGCAGGGGGCGGGGCATGTGCTTGACCCACACCTGCAACCTGCACAGATGGCCCGTGAGACGGGAGCCAGGATAGACCACCCTCCCCTCTGGGGCTTCAGAAGGGAGCACAGAGAATCCATGTCCTGTGTTCCTAAATTCCATGGCAGTGATCATGGCATAGACAGACATGGAAAAGTGGAAACGGGCAGTCGTTTGTACTTGCAAAAACGGAGTCCTTGGCGTGCTAATTTGCATAGTTTCCTAGTCCAAAGAGGGGACCCCCAACTGTGGGGTAGAGAGGTGCCCTTATGTGCACTTTGGGGGCTAGGGATTGTGCTTCAGAAAACACTCTTGAGAAGCAGGCAGCGATGCGCATGGATCTTCTGAGCAGCTGCCCATGAATAATTTTTAAAAGTTGCCAAATATTTAGAAGTCCAGCTTGTTCGTCATAGATTCACAGAATGGGTGCCTAGGGAAATGGACTTTTTTTCAGTCTCGGCAACATCGTTTTAAGGACCCTCCCCCTTTTCCAGGATGGGCAAAAGAGTCTCCCAAACTGCTCATCATTCAGAAAGGTTTCCTTTCAGCCTTTCTTTCACGCGTTGGAAAATACCGAAATTAACAGCTTTGCTGATGCCTGGAAGGTGAACAAGGAAACTGTGAGACTTGGCAGAGCATGAGATCAGCGAGGACCTGAAGGGACGATTCAGAGGCGTTTTGCATTCTCCCTGTCCTTTGGATCAGCAGCGGGAAGCAGGGTGAACTTGGTCCTGCTTGGACACAATGCTGAAGCAGCGATGGTTTCATCCATTTCCACTGCCTTTGGTGGATGTGATGGGGTTTCAGTTGCTTTCCCATGTGCAGTGATTTTCCTGCTCGTTGGACCCCCAGTCGTCCTAGTCATTGTGCTTGAGTGTCACCATGACTGACAGTGAATGACACCCCTGCTATTCCAAGGGCTCTGACCAGTGGATCAGGAGAAGCCGGTCTTGGGGAACACGGGAGCCCGGGAGAGTGCCGCCACGATGGAGGAGCCTCACTCTGGGGTCTGATTATCCCAGAAAGATTACTTCAAGTCTAGGGTCCATAGTGTCTAATTATGTGTGTTAGATTTTTATTTGTGTGGCCTTGCTTTTTAAGATTTTAACCCATCGTTAAAAGTTCACATTTTAGGTGCCCTGTACATGTAGAAATACACATATAAACATTTAAAAGTAAAATGCAGGGGCTTCCCTGGTGGCACAGTGGTTAAGAATCTGCCTGCCAATTCAGGGGACACGGGTTCAAGCCCTGGTCCGGGAAGATCACACATGCCGCAGAGCAACTAAGCCCGCGCGCCACAGCTACTGAGCCCACGAGCCACAACTACTGAAGCCCGTGCGCCTAGAGCCTGTGCTCCGCAACAAGAGAAGCCACCGCAGTGAGAAGCCCACACACCACAACGACCTGCTCGCCACAACTAGAGCAACAAAGACCCAATGCAGCCAAAAATAAATACATTTATATATAAAAAAAAGTAAAATGCATATGAGTATCCCAAAGCTTTAAAAATGCTGCTGCCCATTTAAAAGAGAAGCCTGTAGATGCACCCTCGGCAGCATGCAGTCCCCCCACTCGAGTGTTTACAATGCTTCAGGCCCAGGTTGTGTACAAAAGGCATCTTACTTTTGTCTGAGCTTGGAAAGATTACCAAGTTCTGCCCATCTCAGAGCTTGACAAGTCGGAATAATTTTAATTTTTTCCTTAAATAGATCTGGTCCGATGGACTGATTCTAAATTGTGCAGTTTTGTTCTCTGCTTAGCCTTAGCAAGGTCTGGATGCACAATAACATTGCTGGGTCTTTCCGTATCTTGTGAGCGATCAGGACCAACCCTGCAGTGCAGCCACTTCCTGTGGGAGTGCCTGCCCCCATGACCTTGCCTGCCCTCCCCGCCCCCGGGTGGATTTCCCCTGCTCCATGGCCTCGCTTGGCCTCTTTCCCAGGGTCTAGCTGGGCATCCTCCTGCCTCTGCTCCCTGGAAGCAGAGCGGCTGCCCCTGTAGGCCCCAGGGCCAGACCTCCACACTTCCATGGTCAGGAGGCCCAGGGCTTCTGTGAACCCAGCTGCTCCCATAGGGCTGTTTCTCCCCACAGGAAGTATGTGGCCAGCCTGGGCCTTTCTAGATCTTTCCGGCCCATAGACCACAGTGGAGCCCCTTCTAGGTTAGAAGGGACTTTACAAAATTCTGCAGCATGCGTGTCGCCCTGAACAGAAGGTCGTTTTGTGGGCCCTCCTCCTGGCAGGCAGTGCCACACACACTAGGAATGTAAAGAAAAGGAAGATGGTCCCTGGAGGAATTACAGCTTCGCTGGGGGGGGGGGGGGGGGGGGGTGGAGACAAGAAAAGAAAAAACAAGCAAACCAGAGGAAACCACATTGTAGGCTGGTCTCAGCATCCCTGGGTTAGCATCCCTGCTTCCCTGCTTCCTTGTTCTGTGTGACACAGGTCAAGGAGCTCACAGAGCCTCAGTCTTCTCATCCTTAAAATGGGTCTCATCTTGCCTCCTAGGATTGGCTGTGGGCTGTGGGTGAGATGCCACAGGAGCCGCCAACGCGCTCGACTGGCCCAATGAATCAGTAGCTTCTCTCGTTTCCTTTTTTAGAGGATGGTGCTGTTCTAGTAAGACCGGGAGCCTTTCCAGCTGTGGCATTGCCCCGTGCAAGTCCTCAGAGACACCCGCCTCCAGAGGGACGTGGGTCTGTCCGTGGAACCAGCTTCCCCCGCCCCCCGCTTTTTAATGTGCTTATGTCACCGTTTAGCTACTTGCTCAATGTTACAGTAGCCATCTGCAGGAGGGCCGTGGGCTGAGGGAGTGCTCATGTGATAGAGGCTGACTTCACAGGATATTCTGGTTGCTTGATTTTGCTCTGATTCTGCACTTTAGAGGAGCTGATGGCTGTGGTTTCATGTGAACATGTGTGAGCCCCAAGCCAATATAATCTGTGATCTGGTTGTAGAGCCCACTGTTTCATGTATTTTTGCTTTGCTTTAAAAATCACTTCAAAGTTTAATTCAAAATTATTAATCGGTCTCGTTTGGGATTTAGTCCACGGTACTTTTACTCATTTATTTAACCACCCGTTGACTGGTTTTTTTGCCTTGCGGTTTTTAGTTGGGTTTGACTCAAGGCTGCAGCCCTGCTCCTGCCTATCGCTGGGTTTTGTTTTACATTAAAATGACTCAGCATTGGGCTTCCCTGGTGGCGCAGTGGTTGAGAGTCCGCCTGCCGATGCAGGGGACGCGGGATCGTGCCCCGGTCCGGGAAGATCCCACGTGCCGCGGAGCGGCTGGGCCCGTGAGCCATGGCCACTGAGCCTGCGCGTCCGGAGCCTGTGCTCCGCAACGGGAGAGGCCACAGCAGTGAGAGGCCCGCGTACCGCAAAAAAAACAAACAAACAAAAACGTACTAAGTGAAAGCAGCTAGTCACTAAAGGCCACATACTATACAATCCCATTTATATGAAATTTCCAGAATCAGCAAATCCATATCGGAAAATAGATTAGTGGTTGCAGGGGCCAGTGGGTGGGGAGAGGGTGGTCTGGGGGAGTCATGAGCTAAAGGGCAGGGGATGATGAAAATGTGCTACATCATTTGGGATGATGAAAATGTGCTACAATTAGATGGTGAGAATGGTGGCAAAACTCGGTGACGGCGCTAAATACCATTGAATTGTATACTTTAAGCAGGTGGACTTTATGGGATGTAAATTATATCTCAGTAAAGCTGTTGAAAGCCAGAAGAGCATGAAAGCTAAATGAATGGGGAAGGAGCAAGCTGGATACTGACTGAGCTGGAAAACTGGGGTAAAGGAGGGTGTCCTGTGTGGGTTTTAAGAGGCTGTCTGTGGGGAGCTGGGCTGAAGGGATGGCTGGGGGTGGGAGGGGACATTGTAGGTCACAGAAGGAGCCGCTAACAGATGGAGCGCCTTAGGGGCCAGAGGCTAACACTTCAGATCCAGGGCCGCTGCCATGCTCGCCATCAACCAGAGACTACAGGAGCATTCGGGGCAGGACACTTCTGAAAGCTGGTGATGGCAGCAAAAAGAAGTTATTATTACAGAGCTTAAAAGGCCTCAAGAAGACCCCAAATCCTGAGGCAAAAACGGGCATATTCGACTAGTGCTGTAGCAAAAAGCAGTGGCTAGAACGAGCATTTTTTTTTTTTTTAACCGGAAAACTGACCCTCTCTTTTTTTCTTTCTTTTTCAGACTATAGCCTTCGTTTTCCCTTGGTAAGTACAAAACTTTAAAAAAATTTTCTCTGATGTGTCGTTAACTAGCGAAAAAAAAATGTTTGGGCTTTCAATGTTTGAGAAGTATTATCTTCTAGAGAAAGAAGGCCATATGGTCAGCGTGTTATATTTGAGTTTTATGCCTCAACTGGCTCGAACAGGCTCATATCACACTTCTGGTTACATCATTTGTTTTTTTCACGTTTAGAATCTGGCTCAGCTGCTCCGAATCCTGAAACGTATTGTTGAGAACACAGTTTCCACACGCCTGCCCCTCACTGACTTGTCCTTACTTTTGAAAGGGCCTCGCCTTATTGCGGTGGCACGCATTCGGGGACTGTTGGCGGCACAGTGGCACATAATTGCATTGATGGTAATTGCTTCTTGAATTGATCTGCTGTGGGGAAAACTGCTGAAAAGGAGTTTTTCCAGATTGCACTTTTAGTGAAAAAAATAGAAAACCAACAGTGTTGGCATTCCATAATATTTTACCTTTTGAGGCAATATTCCATGGCCTCCAGGTCCTAGTACTTAGTAAAAGAAACACCATCGCCTTTTTTGTGTTCACTTAATCCACTTAATGCTGTCAAGTTTCCTAAGGAAATTGAGCGAAGACCATCTAAGAGCTTTTGAAGTGGCTGCAGCCTGTGGGCAGGTAACACACGGTCTGCCCTGGTAGGTGCGCACCTCTTGTGAGTGAACCAGGATGTGGGCCGCTGGGATGTTGCATTTCTCAAATGAATCACCTTATTTGAAATACCTTGACTCTGTTCAGAATTGGTCTAAGGCTGATGGGTGGATTCTTTGGCCCCGGCTGGCCCCTCTTTTCGGGGGTGTGCCTTTCATTTGGGCATCAGTGCTTATATGGTGATTCCTGGTGTGATGAAGGGCATTTTGGTTGTACAGACTGTTTCTCCTTATCTCAAAAAATGCTAAATATAGTCAAAGATTTATCAAGACAGAGAAGAGGAAAACTTCCATTTCCTACCTACTCAACTAATTTTGTTGTCCATGTTCTTTACCCTATAATTATTGGATGTTGACAATTCCGAATGGCACACTTTGCTTGGGCAAATGGTCACGGTGGGATCAAAGAGAAGGGTCATTACTGGAATAATATTACTAGGATGGAGGCTTACTTAGAGGAAGTCAGCAATGCCTTTGCCTCAGAAGCCCAAGTGAGAGGTCTTGCTCGCTCGTGTGGGTTGGGATGGATGTTAAACCTGCTGCCATCAAAAGCAGTGGGTCCTGACCACACTGAAATTAAACATTTGAGGGCAGGCCCCGCAGACTCATCTCCTTCCAAAATACAAGGTGCAGGTTATGATGCGTTAGAAGTGTCTGACCTTTGCTTCCCTCAGCTCTCGACTCAGCACTGGCCCCTCCACACCCAGGTGCCATCCACCTGCTCTAGGATTTCCTGGCCATGGCTGGGTGAGCCTCACTCGCAGCTGAGTAAGCCCATGACCTGTGCTTCTAGGGGCCCCTAGCCTCCAGTGTCTCAAACCAGCCCCACGTTCAGAAGTGCATGCCCCGTCCAAAGGCAGCTGAGCCTGTGTCCAGGAGGCGACTTCTGACCTCTGCTTCTATCACAGGTGCTTGGTAGCCACCAGCTTCAGGCAGCCTCTCTTCCACCTGGTCCCATCCTTTGTCTCCTTTGCAATAGGAAAGTAAAGTTGTGCTTAGGGAGCTGTTGAGTCCTTAGACTAAGAGCGTTTCTGATTTCCAGAGTCTTTCTCTTCCACGTGAGGAAAGTGTGTTGGAAGCATGAACTCCCCAACCGTGGCTACCTTAGGTACTGCCTGTGTTTGGAATTGTAGGTCTTTTAGCCTATGGCACATTCATTGCCATTGCCAAACATCTCAGAATCCTTCCAGAGCGTCAGGGTTTCAGCTAATAGAAAGGAATTTATTTTTAATTGGTGAGGTTGGAAACTTGCTTTTGAGTCAGTTAGAACTAAATAACTAGGTCACCTTGGGCAGATGGGGAGAGAGTAAATGCCCTGAGGTTGGCCACCCCAGGCCACCGCCCACACTCGGTGCAGTGGCTCCAGCGGAGTGAACATGCCAGCGTCTCAGGTGTCAGCTCGTCCTAGGATTCTTGTGACATTTAAGTGAAATAACCCAAAGTCTAAGCGTTTAGTAAAATGGTTATTGTCTCCGTCATCAGAAAATGATGAAAATTGTTTCCGCTGTTTAAAGAAGGAATTTAACTGGGCAGTGATGTATTCACTGTATTATAATGGATATTTAAAGGCATTTCCTTGTCTAGAAATAATCCCTGATTTTTCATTTAACAAAAGACACTCTGTGTTAATATTTGACTTTTTTTTTTAAATTTATTTTTGGTTGCGTTGGGCCTTCATTGCTGCGTGCGGGCTTTCTCTAGCTGTGGCGAGCGGGGGCTACTCTTCGTTGCGGTGCGCGGGCTTCTCATTGTGGTGGCTTCTCTTGTTGTAGAGCACAGGCTCTAGGCACGTGGGCTTCAGTAGTTGTGGCACGCAGGCTCAGTAGTTGTGGCACACGGGCTTAGTTGCTCCGCAGCATGTGGGATCCTCCCGGACCAGGGCTCGAACCCGTGTCCCCTGCATTGGCAGGCAGTTTCTTATCCACTGCGCCACCAGGGAAGCCTGATATTTGACTTTCTAAAAAAAAAAGTCAATTTTAAACTGGAGGAAGAGGAGGACTCTTTTTAGTACAACCACCCATTCTCATACTTCTCTTCTTTTTTCAGTATCTAAAAATAGATTTGGGAAGTAATACTATAGTTCATATCGATCATCAGATACGACCAGAGTTCCCTCAACTGGGGAATGCCTGCAACTCTGTGGGTCTCGGTTGCATAGCGTTCAAAAAACGCAGTGGAATTTCAGAATTAAGACTATACGGAAGACACATGATTAAGGTTTAAGTATTTTCTCCAGGCTCGTTGAGGTCTTACGTTGTTGTACCAAAGCGTATCCACCAGTAAAGTAAAATTAAATGACACTGTAGTTTGGCGATCTCACTTTGGTTCATGGAAATACCCAAGGAGTAAAAGAAAACCAAATTGAAGTGCTAATGTTAAATAACAGTGAATTTAATTTTAACAGTAACTTAGAATATTCATTCACTAGCCTTGTCCTCTGTAAGGATCTATGATTCCAACTCTATCAGTTTCAATGCATGTGATTTTCCTCTTCCAAGTCATTTTTCTTCTTTGGTGTTGGTCTGAACAGTCACCATGGTAGAGAGGCAAAAAATAGAGAACCTGAAGGTTTTTAAATCAACTGCACAGGCCTTGTTCTCCCAGGGTGGGGTGAATACTCCAAGCATCCTTTCTGCCCGTCTCAGCTGGGGTTGCATTTCTGTTGGCAGAACAGGTGTTCTGTGTCCTGTCCTGGTTTCTTAATCCTTAGGAAGAACAGAGAAGCATGATGGGCAGGGCACAGGAGATTTGAAAACTTTCTAAGAGATTCAATTCCCGTCTCCTTCCTTTGCCACGTTCTCGGGGTTTTATTAGCATGTATGGACTGCGCGGGTTTCCTATCCAAGCAAAATGTGTTTCTCCCAACAACAAAGCAGTTATTCTCCCGCAAACTGAGAGTAGAAACTGACAGCCAGTTGGAAGAATGCCTTTGGATCTGATGGTGACAAACAGCTCAATCCCTCATTTATTTCCATTTCCATTTTCCCCCAGGAAAGTTTCAACATTCTTCCAAGAAGTACCTCCTAAAAGCGTCCAGTAAGTAATTGTTTGTCATAGAGCAAAGGCATGGATGTTGAGCTGTCAGAGTTTCCATTTAGAGGAAATAGGAACATAGCTCTCCTATATAAACGCGTGTCTCATCTCTGAGCTCCCAGCAGACCCAGTTCAGAGCTGGAATTGTTCTTCTTGAAATCCTGTTCCTGCTGACAGGAAAACATGGATTCTCGCAGGCCAGGATGGTTCCCCAGCATCGTCCCCGTAGGACAAGAGGTAAAGGGAAACTGAAAGGGGAGCCTTTCTTGTCCCTTGGGATTTATGTCATGGTTTATTTTTATGTAATGTAATTCCTAAGATATTTAAAAATTGGGTTAAAGAATATTATCAGGACGCCTCCGTTAAATGCAACATCGGCAAGCACTTTGGTTAAGTTCGTGCAGCCCTGGGCAGGAAATCTGGTACTCATGCTTCAGGAAACTGTTTAATGCACCACGGCTCTGCCGAGTGGTGCCTGGAGATGGTACAGAGGAACGGTCTGCTTTGGGGCTGCTAGGAAACCAAGTGAGGCTCACTTTTTAGGAAAACAATCCCCAACTATTGTTGGGGCCCTGGGTTGCCTGGATGACACATCAAAATCCCACCCGTTTTAAGTTGGACATTTTCTATTTTTATAATCAAAACCGCCCTCTTAATTTTCCTTAGCAACTAGATTTGTGAAGTGGCATTTTAGTTAAAAGTGACTCACTGAGAAAGTGGGAGGTACCTAGGTGGCCGGGCAGCAAGCTGGTTTTCCAGAAGCTGGTGTCTGGGTTCACGAGGGCGGGGCCAGGAGTCTGGGGCCAAGGTTGTCCCGTCTGTGTAGCTGACGTTGTAGGGACAGATGGCATCGTCAGCTGCAGATCTGTGCCGACTGCCTGGCTAAAGGCAGCGTTCACACTGGGGAAAGAAGACAAGATTTATAAACCCGTTGGGTGTGTGACTTACAGAGAACGTTCTCAGACCCATTGGGCCACAGAGTTAGGAAGGAGTCCTGCTACCACAGGGAAGGGTCATGGACCAGTCCCCACTGGATACGGGACCTCGCCCCCAGCTGCAGTCCCATCCATGGGGGACGTCCCTTTGTGAATCGGGACATTCAGCCAGCAGGAGACTCGGTGCATTCTGTTTCAAAATTGCCAATTGGGAGTGACTTTTTAAAGACTGCTTATTGCGATGCAGAGTTTGCTATAAACTATTTAAAATGTTGGGAAAGGAAAGGTCCCTGTGGAATTGCTGAACAAAAATGTGTCACATAATGGTTTCTCTGAGTAGCTTCT